CGCCAAGCACTTAACTGTCTGGTTCGTGGCCAAGCACTTAACTGTCTGCTCCATCCAGGGGCTCCTGAAGCTGGCGCTGCCACTGACCTTTTCAGTTAGAAGGGCTAATAAATCCTGTAACTGATTGATTAAGGTCATTGGGTTTTTCCTATTTGTAACCACATCCTCAAAATCAGAGGAGGTGTATTTTTTTGTTATTATTTTTTTTTTCCCCAAGTGAAATACATAGAGACCTCTATTGCAGGCCTAAGGATTAATAGCAGCAAAGGAATGGTGGTTGAAAGAGCAGATAGCTGGAGAAGAGGGAATGAGGGGGGACATGGCTAAGAAGAAAAGCTGGGACCAGCATGAAGGGTTAGGTGAGCCGGGTCTGCTTCAAGACAACCAGGTGCCATGGGAAGGGGTGAAGCAATGGGGTGACAAGATCGGAGTTCTATTGCAGGAAGTTCATTTTGACTTCTGTGCAGACAACAGGATGGCGAGAGAGATACTGGAAACAAGAACTGTTAGGAGACCACAAGGGCGGGGCCTAGGCTCAGTGGGGGGAGGAAGGTGAGCCGCCTCTGGGACATCTCTCAAGTAGTGTGAGCAGGGCTTGCAGTCCCCTCCTTTGTGGGGAGGGGAAGGACGCATGGAGGCATCTGCAGATGTGCAGGATACATTCTGGATGAAACTGCACTGGTTGACCCCACAGCACCCCAAGATCTGGAGCTTCTCTCACCCAGCTGGTTGCCTATCAGGGACTTCGCTTATGGACGATCTTATACCGTGTGTGTATGTGTGTGTGTGTGTGTGTGTGTGTGTCTAAGAATGTGGGAGAAGGCAGAATTTTGGCTCCTGGGGTTCATGATCCATCCTCACCCCTCTAACCTAAAACTACCACAGGTATCCATCAGGGTGGATGACCCAATAAGCACAGGCTTACTTGTGCTTACTTACTAATCTGCAATGAACAGTTTCACACGCTTCCCACCCCACCCCATGCTTACTTGGCTTAAGGAGCTCTGGTGGCGCAGTGGCTAAAGTATTTGGCTACTAAGCAAAAGGTTGGAGGTTTGAAGCCACCTCCACAGGAGAAAGATGTAACAGTCTACTTCCATAAAGATTTACAGCCTTGCAAACCCTTTGTTGTTGTTGTTATATGCCATGGAGTTGGCCCCGACTCATAGCGACCCCTCCTTGGGTTTCTGAGGCAGTATCACTACGAAGTAGATTGCCCAACCTTCCTTCCAAGGGGTGGCTGGTGCGTTTGAACCACCAGCCTTCTGGTTAGCAGTCAAATGCCTAAGGCACTATGCTACCAGAGCTCCTGGAAACCCTTTAGGGCAGTTCTATTCTGTCCTACAGAGTCACTATGAGTTGGAATCACTTGATGGCAGTGGGTTTGCTTTTACCTTGCTTACTGGGTACTCTGTCCCTACTGTTGTTGTTGTTTTTATTTGCCATCGAGTCAGACCCTACTCATAGTGACCCCTCCTTGGGTTTCCGAGGCAGTATCACTACGGAAGTAGATTGCCCAATCTTCCTTCCGAGGAGTGGCTGGTGGGTTTGAACCGCCAGCCTTCTGGTTAGCAGTAAAGTGCCTTAGGCACTATGCTACCAGAGCTCCTCTGTTGCTACTAGGGATAGTAAATTTGAGAAAAGGCATTGATTCTGCAGGAAGGTGCTATAGGGTTGGGAGAGAGAAAGATGCCAGCCACACCTAGAAGAACCTTTGATGTGGGGAAAAAATGTGAAATTGTTCACTACAGATTACTAGATAAGCACAAGTAAGCCATGCTTACCTTGCTTATTGAGTAACCCGATACTGGTATCCACCTTCCTCATAGAGTCAGCAGTGATGGAGCCATTGGCAAGTACCCTGGGTTGGAGTTGAAATATCTGATTTCTAGTCTTAGTTCCACATCAAACTTGCTGTGAAATTTGCGGCAGTCATCGTGGGCCTCAGTGTCTTCTGTAACATGAGGGGGTTAGATGATGTGCCAATCATCTTTTCTCCTAACTATTTATCAAGTACTTGCTATGTTCAAGGCACTGTGCTGGGTATTTTACATAAAACACCCTACTTTATAGACGCAGAAACCTATGCTTGGTACAGAGGAGGTGCTCCGTAATAGTTGATTGACGAAAAGGTGGATGATGGATGGATGAGCACACACAAGCCCAAGCAGACTCTAGAACTGGGATTTGACAACACTCTGCTGACTCCAAAGCCTATGCTTT